GATCCCTCTGAGGGCTCGGGCAGCTCTGTCCCCAGGGGCGTGTGGCTGGCAGGGGCTGCCTGCTCTGCCTGGGCTGTTCTTTCCTTTTTTTTTTAAGGCAAAATGGTTAAAATGAAGGAGAGAAGGGAACGAGTCTTAGGAGGAGCAGCTGAGGGAGCTGGGGGTGTTCAGCCTGGAGAAAAGAAGGCTGAGGGGAGAGCTTCTGGCTCTGGAAGGAGCTTGGAGCCAGGGGCTGTGTCTCTTCTCCCCAGTGAGGAGTGATAGAACAAGAGGAACCGGCCTCAAGTTGTGTCAGGGGGGGTTTGCATCTGGTATTTGGAAAAATTCCTTCCCCAAAAGGGTTGTCAGGCCCTGGCCCAGGCTGCTCAGGGTGGTGGTAGCATCACCATGCCTGGAGGGATTTAAATGCTGTGTAGATGTGGTGCTGAGGGATATGGGGCAGTGGTGGCCTTGGCAGGGCTGGGGGAACAGTTGAAGTCCATGACCTGAAAGGTCTTTTCTAACCAGAACAATGTGATAATTCTGTGATTCCTAAGGGCCATCAGACCTGGGCACTGCTGGGGATTGCACAGGGGGGCACCAACATAATCTTCATCACTTTTCCACCAGGTCATGTCCACGTCTGGAACAATTTGGGCTGGGCTGGCTTTGGCTTTTGGGTGGCACCCCTGGGTGGGTGACTGGTGACAGACCAGCTGTGACACCACCCTCACAGGCAGCTTGTGGTGATGGAGCAGGTCTGGGGCAAAGGATCCAATTCACCTTCCCTGGGTGATCTGGGAGCTAAAAGCAGGAGGAAAGCCTTGATCATATTTGGTGGGATCTGCCAGCCAAAAATCAGCCTGGACCTGCTGAATTTTTTGGTAAAGAGGCTCTGGGGGTAACCAGCTGTGACACCACCCTCACAGGCAGCTTGTGGTGATGGAGCAGGTCTGGGGCAAAGGATCCAATTCACCTTCCCTGGGTGATCTGGGAGCTAAAAGCAGGAGGAAAGCCTTGATCATAGACATTTGGTGAGGTCTGCCAGCCAAAAATCAGCCTGGACCTGTTGAATTTTTTGGTAAAGAGGCTCTGGGGTTTTTTGTTTTATTGTTATTAATAATCTCCAAGGTACATTTGGAAGCTGGGATGTAACCAGTTATACCCTGTTCCTACAAGCAGGTCCACAGTGTTCCAGCTGGTGCCTTGGCATGTGTGCTGGGGTGGGTGACCAGGGCTTTGGGCTCCCCAGGGGTGACACTGGGCTTGGATGTGGCTTCAACACAGCCTGGCACAGCCTCGGGCAGCCCCTGAGCATCCCTCTTGACTGGACACCCCATCCCACGCTGGAGGTGGGTTTGGTGAGGCTGGAGCCACCCTCTGGGATGCACAGCAATACCTGAGGTCCTGGGGAGGCCTTTTGTGTTGCTGGTTTTCAGGAGAGAAACCAGTCAGGCTCTCGCTAAGATATGTGGGGGCTGAAGCCCCAGCTCCTCCTTGCCAGGGGCTGGACCTCTCCTGCCTGGGCGTGCTCTGGGGCTCAGGGGCTGCTCTGCAGGGGTTGCCCCACACTAATCCCCATCTCCATCCCCTTTGCAGCCCAGGTCAAGGGAGCAGCCCCCAGCCCTGGGCCCGCCGAGCCCTCTGGTGCCGTGATGCTGCCCGTGAGCTACCGCCTGTCCAACACCCGCTTGGCCTTCTTCCTCAAGGAGGTGGGATCCAGCCCGGCGGGCAACGGCAGCGCCCCCCTGCACCGCTCCGAGCCCTTCGTCGTCTTCCAGACCAAGGAGCTGCCCGTCCTCAACGTCACCCTGGGGCCCTTCAGCACGGGGCTGGTGCTGCCCCGGGAGCAGCTGCAGCCCTCCCGCACCCTGGAGGTGCCCGGCCGCCTCACCGT